ATCTAATAATAATAATTTAGAGAAGATCATAAGAATCTGTATAAAAAAACACTTACCTGCTGGCAAATGATTCATCAGAGATCTAGTAGACCTAGTCCGCCTAGCCTGCTAGTAAAGTTGCGTTGTAAACACGCGTACTTGTAAGTTGTAATGTTATTATTAGGCCTATACTTACGACTGTTAACAACCGGTTCGTGGAGGTCATTAAATTCTAGGAATCCCACCACTGTATATATATAGGTTACAAACACTTAGGTATCGAGTGATAATTATTATAACGTATTACAAACCCTTAGGCGTCGACTGGTAATTATTATGACATATTACAAATCCTTAAGTATAGAATGATAATTATTAGAACAGGCTACAAACCCGTAGGTAACGACTTATAATTATTATAACATGCTACTAATCCATAAGTATCGTATGATAATTATTAGAATAGCATAAAATCCCTTACGTATCGAATGATAATTATTAGAACAGAATAAAGACCCTTAGGTGTAGACTAATAATTATCATAAGGTATTTGAAACCCTTAGGTATCGACTGATAATTATTATAACACATCATAAACCTTTAGCTATCGACTGGTAATTAATATAAACATATTACAAACTTTTAAGTATCTACTGATAATTAATAGAACAGCATACAAACCCTTAGGTATCAACTAATAATTATTAAAACATTATACAAACCCTTAAGTATTAACTGATAATTATTAGAACAGCATACAAACCCTTAAGTATCGACTGATAATTATTGGAACAGCATATAAACTCTTAGGTATTGACTGAAAATTATTATGACATATTAGACACCCATAGGTATAGACTGATAACACAGACCTGCGATGGTTTTATTGTATTGAAATGTTTACATGTTCTGCAGTAATTCCTGTACGCTGAATCCGAAAATGATGTCCATTTTTTTTCCATCACGTACACATTTTTCACAAAACATCATATGTACTTTTACATAAGTGAATCATTATAATTGAAATCGGGTCACATTTTATTATACTTAAAATGTTGACAACCACTAATTATATATTTCTTTAGACCAATCGCGAGTGAGAGTCTTATTGATCGTTCTAGAACCCAAACATAATAATAAAGAATGTTTATTGTGATAAACGAAATAATAATTTCATCTAAGTAAGGATTTTTTTTCTTCCCGATTTGTAAAAAATGCTTACGTGATAGAAAAAAATGAATATTGTTTTCGAAGTCTGCGTAACTGAATTATGGAAAATCCATTATTAAAACCAAAACAACTTTTATGAAGTTTAAATTCACAGGCCTGTGTAATTATTAGAACAGCATACAAACCCTTAAGTTTCTATAGATATTTAATAGAACTTAAGTTATGAAGAATCATCTGGACCGAGGTATGTATACCAGTATATCAGGTTGATTATCAGAAATGACAAAGGAAATATCCCTCTTGAAATCTTGTCGATCTTACTAACGCTATTCAAGTGTATTGACACTTTTTGTTGGAGAGTAAACCTTCTACGAGGAGGGACTCTTTGTACCATGCGACCGTTTTGAGGCCCGTTTCTTCCCAAAGATCGGTGGACCATGTGCTGTGCGAAGCTTGAATCCTATTACGGAAAGAAAGTCCATCATTAGAAGTGAAGTTTTAAACTCGTATTTTATCTATTTTTCTTTTATAAGTAAGTATATAGAAATGAGGTACCAGGGCAATTGTAGGCTAACAAAAAAAAAGTGAGTTTAATGTAGATTACAAAAACTATTAGGAAAGATTGCTAGGATTATGCCAGATCTAGATAATGTTAATGTCATTATGACACTTTCCTAAACTCAGTACATCATAGAATTTCTGTCTTAGATAATGTAACTAGTATTATACCAGGTCTATATAATGTTACCGGTATTATGTCACTTCTAGACAATGCCATTGGTATTATGCCAGGATTACACAGTATTTGCTGATATTATGTAAGACCTAAATAATATTACTAGTATTATGCCAGACGTAGATAATGTTACTAGTATTATGCCAGACGTAGATAATGTTACTAGTATTATGCCAGACGCAGATAATGTTACTAGTATTATGCCAGACGCAGATAATGTTACTGGTATTATGTTAGACGCAGGTAATGTTACTAGTATTATGCCAGACGCAGATAATGTTACTGGTATTATGTTAGACCTAGATAGTGTTACTGGTATTATGCCAGGCCTAGATGATATTAATAACATTATGCCGGATTACATAGTGTTACTGAGATTATGCCAGGCTAAGATAATGTTATTTGGACTATACTTTCCATTAACCTGTGGAAGGTGTTTAATGAATGTTTCACTTTATATTTTCTAAAGATTAAAATAAAATACCCTGGGGAAGTTGTCTAACGACGAGAAACATTCAGGATTGTCATTCACAGGTTCTTCAACTTCTTCTTCCGACTCCCATTCATCAGTTAACGAGTCGTCATCTTCGGGCTTTGCTTGTGGAACGTATTCGCCGCTGCCTACCTTGGTGTAACAGTGAACGATAGCAAACTCTGCTATTGTAGCAAAGACGAAGAAGAAACTTATAGCCACGTAATAGTCTAGGGCAGTGCAGTAAGAAACTCGAGGAAGGTCGTTTCTGCTTTCGAGGCCAAGAAACGTCATTGTCAACACCGTTGTAACACCTGCACCAAGAAAAAGTCATCATATATATATAAGTTCGTTATTGAAGATTTGCTGGATTTTTTCATTATTTAGTTTCTGGATACCAAGCAGTTGGTTAATTCATGATGTTAGAAAAACACGTAGGTTCAAGAAGTCTTGATAGAAATGAATCAAAACCCAATAAACCCGAGCGCTTTCGAAAGGTGGACCTTTTTTCTTTAGAGGCAAACTGAGAATCAGTTGATTAATGTATAACACCTAGTCTCCGGATACCAAACAGTTGGTTAAGGTATGATATCTAGTTTCTGGATACCAAGGAGTTGGTTAAGGTATAACATTTTTTAGGATAACAAGCAGTTGGTTAAGGTATGACATGATTTGGGATACCAAGCAGTTGGTTAAGGTATGACATGATTTGGGATACCAAGCAGTTTGGTAATTTTTGGCATCAAGTTTACAGATACGAGTCAGTTGAGATTGATGGGGTATATTTCAATATACTCACCAACTGAGTTTGATGAGAAATGAAAAATTACGTAGTAATCAACTACACTAAGCCAGCATGATAGAGGGAGCTGTGCTGAAGTAATCAGTGGAAGCTGGTTGGGGTTATGTTCTCTGTATTGTACTGCAGTATCTTGAGACTTAATTAAACTATACATCTAAAGATGGAATAACATTGCAAGCGTTTTCAGGCGTAAAGGCTAGAGAATTCAGGACAAATAATTATGTCATTTTCTGCTTGGGGATTAGTTTAGTTAACTAATGATATACTACATAACTTTACACTACGAACGGTCTCCAATAATTTATATCTTGCATCTTACCAAGAGCAACTCTATCAGCTGTGGCCTCTCTGTTGATCCAGAAAGAAACCCAAGAAAGGACGACAAGCATAGTACACGGAGCATACACCTCGATAAGGAAGTACCCCATGTGTCTCTGGAGATGAAAACTGGCCACGAGCACGGAGAAAAGACCTACCGCACGAGTAAGAGAAACCTTGGAATAAAAAATCTGTCTAAGCCTATCTGGTTCAAATAAATCTAACTCTATTTATTCGTAAAGGAAAGGGTTGGTTCTATGGAACTAACACTTGATACAAACACTATAACATACTAAACGACAATACAAACGTCTTGTTAGTGAAGGCTGGTTCTATGGAACTAACACTTGATACAAACACTATAACATACTAAATTACAATATAAACGTCTTGTTAGTGAAGGTTAGTTCTATGGAACTAACACTTGATACAAATACTATAACATACTAAATTACAATATAAACGTCTTGTTAGTGAAGGTTTGTTCTATGGAACTAACACTTGATACAAACACTATAACATACTAAATTATAATATAAACGTCTTGTTAGTGAAGAGCTCTATATAAGCAACAAGTCAAACGTTTTATGCTGTTTACATAGAACTAAAGCTTTGTATAAGCAACAAATCAAACTTTTTACGCTGTTTATAAAGAACTAAAGCTTCCTAAAAACAACAAATCAAATTTTTTACGCTGTTTATATAGAACTAAAACTTTGTATAAGCAACAAGTCAGTTTTTACACTATCTTTATAGAACTAAAGCTTTCTGTAAGCTACAATTGAAACTGCATCAACGAAAAGGTGATATGTGTGATTAGATTCGTCTTACTGTGTCTCAAGCGGTCTGTCATGTTACCACTGGGAGTATCGATTAGGTCAAACTGCGACATCTTCATATCTGGGTGGATAACTACTCTTCTAACGGGATTCCACTTGTACACCACATTCATTGTAGAATAAGCAACTACATATCAATAAAACACATCAGCTGTTTAATAAGTGATAAAAAAACTTGAATAAAGTTCTAGTTAGTTGTAACTTCCTATTCAAAGTGTACAACATTAATAAAGTTCTAGTTACTTATAACTTCCTATTCAAAGTGTACAACATTAATAAAGTTCTAGTTACTTGTAACTTCCTATTCAAAGTGTACAACATTAATAAAGTTCTAGTTACTTATAACTTCCTGTTCAAAGTGTAAAACATTAATAAAGTTCTAGTTACTTGTAACTTCTTATTCAAAGTGTAAAACATTAATAAAGTTCTAGTTACTTGTAACTTCCTATTCAAAGTGTAAAACATTAATAAAGTTCTAGTTACTTGTAACTTCCTATTCAAAGTGTACAACATTAATAAAGTTCTAGTTACTTATAACTTCCTATTCAAAGTGTACAACATTAATAAAGTTCTAGTTACTTATAACTTCCTGTTCAAAGTGTAAAACATTAATAAAGTTCTAGTTACTTGTAACTTCCTATTCAAAGTGTACAACATTAATAAAGTTCTAGTTACTTATAACTTCCTATTCAAAGTGTGCAACATTAATAAAGTTCTAGTTAGTTACACCATACTATTCAAGCGCAAAACGGTAAGAAAATTTTAGTTATTTATAATTTCCTGTGGACAACGTTAAGAAAAATTTTGCTTGCTTACAGCTCCCTATTCGAAGCGGACAACGTTGCATATCCATTGGAAAGTTCTCAAGATTCATTGGACAGTCGGCTTTTATTGTTAATCTGTAAAAACATGTATATTGTTAATCACCTAATGTGGACAATGTTATTGTTTACCGTTCTTTTTTTTTAACTTGTTGCAACAACTATCTACAAACTTAATAAAGTCTAAAAGTAAATCAAGACTTTTCTAGGTCATTGAAATTTTAATTGTCAATATCTACGCAACAGAGTATAAAAATCACTCGTAGGCACTCAACTAATAAAATGTCTCTATGCTTAGTAGTGAATATCACAGTTTGTTTATACAATGCTGCAAGACGATAATTATTAACATTTCATAATAAAGACAAACTATTTAAAACTTCTTGCTAACACAAGATTGTTGTTCTGAAATCAGAATCTTAATCTATATAAATATAATAGTACTGTCTGTTGTATGTCCATGTAACTACTTCACAGGGTGTGGAGGGTATGTAGGTTCATCAGATCCATGCGGCGATACCTTTTCAGTTTTGCGTTTTGCGGTTTTTATGGGCGTTTGTTGCGTTTTTTACTACTACTTCGCTCACCGTAGACGAATCTTCACCAAATTTGGTATGGAGGTTCATTGGGTCCATGGAGAGATACATACAAATTCTCAGTTTGCGTTTTGAGGTTTTTATGGGTGATTTTGCGTTTTCGAATTTTTACCACTAATTCGTCCCCTGTTAATGGATCCTCGCCAAATTTGGCGTGAAGGATTGTTGGGTCCCTTGGGAGGTACATACAAATTTTCAGTTTTACATTTTGCCTTTTCCGTTTTTTAGCACTACTTCGCCCCCTGTTGATGGATCTTCACCAAATTTAGCATGAAGGTTCGTTAGATCAATACGGAGATACATGCAAATTTACTGTTTCACATTTTGTATTTTGCAGTTTTTATGGCCGTTTTTGCGTTTTTACAATCACATATAAGGGAAGCAAATTTTCATGTCCTTAGACAACCTTTTATTAATCATGAATTTACAAGGGACAAGTACTCCAGCTAGTAAATAAATAACTACATAACAACTACTTTTATTTTAAATCTCAAGACTAATCTTTGTACATTTTCTATCTTATAATCTCATGTATTTCAAGTTCCTGATTCACAAACTGTTACTCTAAGTATTATGGCACTGAGTACAAACCCAAATGTAACATAAACGTTCATATACTTTCTGTCACTAGGAGCCTTCTATCCCTAGATAGCTCCTACTTTAAATCTATAACCAGTAACTCCTACCCTTCTTTCATATGTTTTACAAATTTGCTTAGGCAGAGATCCTGAGTGTAAAACATTTAAATAGAACGAGCCTCTTATTATACTATATTACACATTCTGAGTTCCTGATTTGTTGTGTGGTGCATCCTCTTTACATGTTTTACAGTCAGCCTCTTATTATTTCTTGTTTTATTGTGTGGTGATTCTGAGTTCCTGATTTGTTGTGTGGTGAGCCTCTTATTATCATCCTCTTTACATGTTTTACAGTCACTATATTACACATTCTGAGTTCCTGATTTGTTGTGTGGTGAGCCACTTATTATCATCCTCTTTACATGTTTTATAGTCACTATATTACATATTCTGAGTTCCTGATTTGTTGTGTGGTGAGCCACTTATTATCATCCTCTTTACATGTTTTACAGTTACTATATTACACATTCTGAGTTCCTGATTTGTTGTGTGGTGAGCCTCTTATTATCATCCTCTTTACATGTTTTACAGTCACTATATTACACATTCTGAGATGTAATATAGTGACTGTAAAACATGTAAAATGTGTAATTTTGATAACAAGATGAAAATGGAAATCTTTATTTAATCATAAAATGGCGCAAGTGGAATTGAAATAAAATTATAAACTTACTTTCCCTTTCGTGTCATGAATACGCCCTTTTCTTATTATAACATAGATTCTCACATCAACACATTCAACAAATAACTTCTGTCTACGAAGTCAAGATATGTAGTATTAATATTATTTTATGATCAGAAAAAGCTACTTAGAACAACCAAGTTCAAAATAAATGAGTGTAGCTAATTAGATATAATTTTCTTGTGTTTCTAGTTATAAAGATTATAATTCATTGTTTGATCATTTGGATACCCTCGCTGTTACCGATATTTTCAACAGTAATCTCAGTAACATTGCACGAGATCCGACCAGCTTATAATATTTAAGTTAGTCCTAAATTAATATATTAAAGCAAACAAAACAAACTTTAGAATAAAACTATAGCAATAAACAATAAATCAAATTAAAAGTTGTGGCATTTGAAATACTATATTATAACCAAAATTGTTAATGTAAGTAATTAATATAGTATATCTTACTTAAAGAACACAGATATACTAGCTCTCGTAGAAGCAGGTATCTATGGAAAATGTAACCTCACTTTAAAATGCCTGTTTTCTCTTCAGTTCTCCCTAGCAAATAAAACTTCTGTCTAATCTAACGTCAGAGACGAGTAATATATAACATGGATTTTCACATCGACATAGTATGTTGTACGTTAAAAGAAATAGAATAAGAAGGTGAAAATATATCACAGTGTATGCTTGTGTTATTCGTATATTTTAGTTTTTGTCTCGATATCACCTACTTGAAACTTCGGTTTGTGTTCTGTTCTTATGCCTTTTTTATTTTAAATTCCATTCGCTGTTGAATGTCACTGTTTTATCTTAGTTATTATGATAATCAAAAGTGTCTTATCGTTTAGAAATTTTTGTACCTCGATGAATAAAGTACTTTCCCATTTTGATGGAGACGCATGAATTTGTTGGGCGAGGTGATTGTATGAAGATAGGAATACTCTCCATTGTAAAAATATGTGTCAGGCCGCCAGATCCTCTCAAGCATGGAAATGGAGAGAGCAAGGGTTGCCATGGATCCAGTAAAAGCTAATCTTCTGTCGATCCAGCTCTGTCGAAAGTAGCAGTCCATTGAATAGCTCTGAAAAATTTAACAATCTTATAAAAATGTTTATATACCAATGTGTAAATCACTAAAATAGCTTTGTCCAATTAAACAGACTGGAAAATTTTCTTTATACACCAATTTTAAATCAATGAAATAGACTTCACACCGACGTCGTGAACAGCAAATTCTGTAAAGTACCGGATCTTTTGAGGACGTGTGTAGCAACAGTCTCAAACACATTCCATGTATTCCAAGAAGAGATTCCACACCGACATTGAACAGGAAGTTGTGTGTAGTAACAGTCTCAAACACATTCCGTGTATTGCAAGAAGAGATTCCACACCGACATTGAACATGAAGTTGTGTGTAGCAACGGGTTCAAACAGATTCCATGTATTCCAAGAAGAGATTCCACACCGACATTGAACAGGAAGTTGTGTGTAGCAACAGTCTCAAACACATTCCGTGTATTCCAAGAAGAGATTCCACACCGACATTGAACATGAAGTTGTGTGTAGCAACGGGTTCAAACACATTCCGTGTATTCCAAGAAGAGATTCCACACCGACATTGAACAGGAAGTTGAGTGTAGCAACAGTCTCAAACACATTCTATGTATTCCAAGAAGAGATTCCACACCGACATTGAACAGAAAGCTGTGTGTAGCAACAGTCTCAAACACATTCTATGTATTCCAAGAAGAGATTCCACACCGACATTGAACAGAAAGCTGTGTGTAGCAACGGGTTCAAACACATTCTATGTATTCTAAAAGACCGCACAGCAACCGACTTCATGCATCTGTTAACCTTTGAATTTGAAAGTAATATATTCTGAAAAAAAAACCTTTAATAATTAAATACATGAACTAGAAACTTTAAAATAAGAAATAAAACGCAATCCGAAAATATTTTTTTATTAATCAACTGAAGCTAATTACATTATTTTTACTAGTTTTAAAAACCAGACATACCATTTGTTTATTCCAGGATCAACTAACTTTAATGTTTTAAAATGTCCTGTTATAAAAACACTTACCATTTCCATTTCGTACTTCGATATCGATGTAGACTAGGTTATTAAGGCTTAAACAAGTCCAGGATCAACTACCTTATGTTTCATATTTTCTGTTGTAAAAACACTTACCATTTCTACTTCTGATATCGGTCCCATACTTCGTACTTCGATGTCGATGTAGACCAGAGTAGGAGAGCCTAAACATATTGATCATTAGTTTCACTTATACACTTTATATGCTTGAATAGTCACAAAGCTGGATCTTAGCAATATTTTACGATATGTTAAGTAACAAAATAAATAATATTTGGCTACATTTAATAACATATGTTTTGTTTTTACTGCATATCGCTAAGATACGACTTCCAGAACTATAGGTGTATATTTCTCTATTACATTTCTTTCTTATACATTATACTACTATTTGGAAACAAACAAAGCAGTTATTACTTTCCCCACAAGCAGTCTATGATAGGACAATTTCTTTCTTAGTTGTACCACCACTAATCATTTCATACTGTTACGTCTCCGTTTGTTAAT